TCCTTGTCACCAGGCTGGCTTAGGGAGCACCAGGCCTTGTGAGATGGCTCTGACCCAAACCCTCAGGCAGCAGGCTACCCAGGTTGCAGCATCCTGAGTAGCTAGGATGACAGGCGTTGAGCTATCAGCACCCAGCTTCTTTTGTATTCTTTTCAGGAAATCTCAGCTATTCTGGCCTTTGGTTGGGTCACTACCAAACTCACTGTATATGGGAAGGATTACCTCTGTTAGGGCCAGTATTTCTCTCTGCCTCTAGGATTTTTTAAGAAGAGGAAGGGGCGTTGTCTCTACCTGCCACTGTCCCTGTATCTCAGGGTCTTCAAGAGGGGCAGAGAGGAGATGTCTCCAAAGGGCTATTGGTCTCTCCCCATCTTCCAACTCCTCCCCTTCTCCTCTCCCTCAGCACTGATCAACAAGCATCTTCCAGACAGGCTCATGTGTGGGACATGCAGAGAAGTAACTTGCCTTCAGCAAGTTCCCATGCCCTGCAGGGAACTTGCCCTGGATCCCTGGGGGAAGAGGGACAGAGTATGATGTGGTGGGACCATGGATGGGGATTGGGTGAGGACATCTTGATTGGTACAGAGTGACAAGAAAGGTCAAGGCTAAGCCTGTCACCAAGTCACCACTGCATGGCCTGAGGATACATTCTCAAGAATTTTAGGAACTTGGGGAGGGTGCAGCATCAGGGGACAAAGTGGGGCCTGGGCCGGATCAGATGAGCTATAACTTGGAGAGGGTTAGTGCCCTAGGGAGGCTTATCACTGGCTTCAGACCTCAGGTGCCATCAGAGGTGAGCAAGGGTGGCACTTGATCTGGAAAAGACCTGGAAGAGGCACCGTGCTGCCTGCATGCCTGTAGCCTCTGCTTCTTCCCTCTCCTCCCCAGTCTCTCTATCACAGAAATGGCAGCTTCCCTCTTCCAGCTCCAGTTCCACTGTCCCTAAGCCAGGGAGGGTCCTAGAGATCCTGTGTCATCACAGTCCCCTGCCAGCAATCCTCTGCCACCACCCTCACTGGGTTCTTTTCCAGTCACCAGAATTTGGCGTCACATCAGTTCTTTGCCTGGTCCCTTGCCTGGCTCACCCTGGTCCCCTGGAATATAGCTCCATGCCCTCAGATTTCCACTTGAGCTGACCCTCCCACCCTATATCCCCAGTCCTCCTACTTTCTGCTCTGAGGTCTCAGCAGCCCCTGGCTGAGCCTCCACACACCAGGCATGACCTGCAGGAGGTATCTGCATGCATTGTATTTGCTGTCTTCTCTGTGGGGCCTGCTCCGTGTCCAGATGGCCTTGTAGTTGCTTTGCTTTTCTCCCTTCCTTCAAATTCTGGGTCCACTACCGTGGCTCCCTGCATTCACAGCTCTGAGCTTCAGTAAGCTGAGCCTGCTGGCTCCATGTACTACTCTCCCACCTCCAGCACTGTGTCTGACTCTCTTCCATTTAGAATACTTAAGTCTCCAGTAATTCCACAGTTTAGCAGGTCAGTTTACTTTGGAACTTTTTTTTCCTACATGAAAGACTTGCTATTCTTTAAGCATCCTTTTTAATTAAGCGCAATCTGGACTGCCTCTTCCTGTTCAGCCTCTTTGGGGAGTCAGGAGGTTCATGGGAGGAGGGAGTGGATGGTGATTAGGTCCATCTTCCCCCTGCAACCCCCCCCCACTGTGAGCTCTTCACTCCTCCAGTACAAAGAGACTTCATCTCAAGTTTGCCTCTCTGCCTGCCTCTAAAGCTGTCTCGTCCACCTGCACTGGCTTCCAGAGTCCTCCTAATTCAATATCTTCACTCAGCCACCAGGGACTATCTTGGGAAGGGTCGGCAAAGACAACTGCTGAGAAGCCTCAATTAAGGAGATGCTTGGGGGAAGAAATGTCCTAATTAAGTTCCTTTTGGATAACAGCACAGCTGAAGTTTTTATTAGGCAGAGACAGCATTATGTAAAAGAAATAATAGATGAAGATATTTTAGGGGGTAGGTTTGGTAGCTCACACCTGTAATCCCAACTACTCAGAAGGCAGAAATTGGGAGGATCTTAGTTCAAAGCCAGCCTGAGCAAAAAGTTAATGACTACAAGCAAGTCAGGTTGTGGCAGTGCATACCCATGATCCCAGCTATATGGGAGAAACTGATCAGAAGGATCATGACTCAAGGTCAGCCCTGGGCAAAAAGGTAAGAACCTATCTGAAAAATAACTAAAGCAAAAATGTAGTGGGAGTGTGTCTCAAGTGGTAGAACATTTATTTAGCAAGTAAACACAAGGCCCTGAGTTCAAATTCTAGTACTTCCAAGGGGAGGGATGATGTTTGTTGATTTAGAGCAATGATTGTTAATGGAGGATGTTGGAAAGGGGGATTGGGACTAATGCCAGGTTACTAAGACAGAATATTTATAACAAATTAATGAATCAGTGACTTGAGTATCTGATACAGCTCAGATACTATGGGACTATCAAAAATAGGGGCTGTTGCCGGGTTGTTGGTGGTTCATGCCTGTAATCCTAGCTATCCAAGAGGCTAAGGTCTGAGGATCAAAGTTCAAAGTCAGATCAGGTAGGAAAGTCTGTGAGACTTTATGTCTAGTTAGCCAGCAAAAGGCTGGAAGTGGAGGTGTGGCTTGAGTGGTAAAGTACCAGCTTTGAGCAGAAAAAAAACAAGTGAGAGCATGAGGCCCTCCCTGAGTTCAGTTCAAGCTCCAGTGCCAGCAAAAAAATTAAAAAAACATTTAAACACAGGAACTCAGGCTAGTTATGGACTGGGTCAGAGGCTGACATTGCTCAGCCTGATTGGAGCAAGTCACTCAACTTCGCGCTGTGGGAGAAGGCCCGGACAGTACATACATGTGTGCTTAAACTGTGATAACAATAAAAGTCTGATCTCATGTGAATCAAACTAAAAACCATTTCATCTTTCTAGCTATGTGGCTGACACCAAGGTTGGAGTGGTACCTCTGCTACACCTGTCCCTGAGGGGCCGAGGACACAGCCCAGGACTTACCTGTCTAGTCAGTGTGCAGGTTCCTGGGCAGGTCCTAGTGGCCCCAGCCTATCCTGCCCAGGTGATGCCGAGCTCTGAGCGTGGGCTTCCCCTGTGCCACAGTGGCTTGCGGTGATGAATGCCAAGCAAGCGCCTTGCTCAGTGACCTTTCAGCTCTCACTGCTGCTCTTCTTCACTTCTCTTAACTATTTGCAAATATTAGCTGCATGGGTCATTTCTCCTCATGACATCTTTCACAGCTGATGGGCAGGTTGGTCCTGAGACTGGCACTCCATTCACCCCCTGCCAATCCAGCGTTCCCTCAGAACCAGATATCCAGCCCACAATCCCAGAGCTTGCATGGGGGACTCCCACAGGGATTCAGAAGCCCAGGGTATAGAGAACATCACAGTTGCCTGCAGTGCCTCTCGGATGTGTGAGATCAGTACCCCATCATGGAATCACTGTGTGGGTTGAACAAAATTAATTTGAGTCATTATCCAGGGAACCAATGGCTCATGCCTATAATCCTAGCTATTCAGGAGTCTGAGATCTGAGGATTGTGGTTCAAAACCAGCCTAGGGCAGGAAGGTCTGTGAAACTCTTCAATTAACAATCAATCAAACAATGCTGGAAGTGGAACTGTGGCTTAAGTGGTAGAATGCCAGCCTTGAGCAAAAAAGCAAAGGAACAGCACCTAGGCCCTGAGTTCAAGCTCCAGTACCAGCATATACACACACAAATTTAATTTGCTGGCTGTGCCTGCAACTTTTTAAAGATTTACATACTGGGCATTGGTGCATGTAATCCTAGCTATTCAGGAGGCTGAGACCTGAGGATTACAGTTCCAAGCCAGCCTGGGCAGGAAAGTGCCAGACTCCAATCTTCAGTTAACCATGAGAAACCCAGAAGTGGCACTGTAGCTTAAGCAGTAGAGTGTCAGCCTTGAGTAAAAAAGCTCATGGATAGTGCTCAGGCCTGTTTTCAAGCCCAACACTGGCATGAAAACAATCTGCATACTATGTAGGCAGCTAAGGAGCTAGGAGAAGTCACTGTTGGTAAGTCTTCCTCCCTCTGTCCCACCCTTCTCTCTTGACATCTGTGACCCACCCCTGCCCATGGAAGGCTAGAACCTTCCATAGACCAGAGTTCTGAGCTGCTCCCACTGGCAGATGGGCTTCTGCAACATAAGGAACTAGAGAGGGCATTTTGCATTTACAGTCATTGAGATTTGTTTTTATTTCCAGTCTCTTACATCTCCACCCTTTATTGAAATCCCCACTCCATAAATATGGCTCCATCTTCATTTTCCCTAAATAAACAGTAGTAAAGTGTGCTGTGGGTAGTTTAATTTTGATGCTAAATGTATTTTAGAGAAAAGAGGCAAAAATGCATCCTATTTTTTTCCTTCCTCGTCTCCAGAAGTATGAGCTAAATTATTTATAGTTTGATACTCACAAAAGAGAGATGGATTCCGGGTATTTATTTTACAGAAAAGAAAAAGGGGATTGCCAGGGCAGGGAGAGAGAGAGAGAGAAACACTGTTGGCTGAATGTGTTCGTCCCAAATAGCTCACTACTGGCTCTTTTCAGTTGTGCCTAACAAAGTGCCTGACCTGCACAGTTGACTGAGTCTGAAGCAGTGGGTATGCCAGGGTGACTCAATAAGAAAATTCTTAGCTCAATGAAAAATATAATCATATAAAGCCAGTAACCTTTTAGAAAACACTGAGTAGTCAAAAGCCCATAGCTGCACAGTTCACCGGCATCCTGAGGTCCCCAGGCACTGGGCATCCTGGGCTCTGGCATTGAGTCCAGCAGACAAAACTGGCTGTGCCCGGCTCCCCATTCCTGTAGTTGGCAGAAGCCACAGGTGATACCACGGATCCTCGAGGAGTTCTGATAGGTAGGGTGACTCTGGGTTTCCTACCCATGTGGCTTGGTAAGAGTGTTATCTATCACCTTCTCATTCTCCCCTCTTCCATGACAAAGAGTTCCATGCACCATTTCATGTTCTCTGCCACAGGAGATATTGCTGCACCAGAAGCCATGGCTCCAGTCATTGTGGTTGCCCCGGGAAACAGGAGTGTGGTGGCAGGGTCCAGTGAGACCACCTTGGAGTGCATTGCCAATGCCAGGTATGGATGCACTGTAACATGGAAACACAGGTTGTCCATCCTCACAGGGAAGCCTGACACCCAGCATGGGTAATGGTGGAGGCCCCCTCTGCCCGGCCAGGTGGGGAGGGGGAAGGGGAAGCGCAAAGGAAAGTTCATTCCTCTTCCTCCTGTAGTCCTGGACATTTTCTGCCTGGTTTGTGATCACTCCAGGATCGAGTGGAGATGGTCACGCCTCCCATGTAGCTGTAGTGTCCCCTAGTAGTATTTATTTTAAACATTCTTTTCCTGAGCAAATGGAATCATTAGCACTTACGGTCCATTGGTACCACAATTAGCTATCCTTGCTCAATAGCCCTTGAGCAGAATGTATGGCCGAGTTGCATGGTGCGGGAGTAGCGCTGTATCTGGATTGATTTTTAAATGTCCATTGTTCAGCTTGCCATGGTTCCTGGTAGAATTAGCTTTGTCAAGTCTGTGCTGAATGCCTGGAAATTATTATTATTATTGCCACATACATGATTCACAATCGTTGTCACCGATGTCCTTGCGCTCGCAGGCCTGTGGAAGAAGTAAGCGTGCACTGGAAGAGAAATGGTGTGCGACTTACCAGCGGGCTACACAGCTTCGGCAGGCGCCTCACCATCAGCAACCCCACATCCGCTGACACTGGGCTGTATGTTTGTGAGGCCTCACTTCGGGGCAGCGCCTTCGAACCAGCCAGGGCGAAAGCCTTCCTCTCTATCATAGGTAAGGCTCAGATAGTGCCACGTCCTCACACTAGCAGCAGACAAAATAGCTGCCCTGTACTTCTCTGAATTTATTTTGGTTTTGCTTTATTTTTGTATTGCTGAGTCTGGAAGGCAGGTGTTCTTCAGCCACTGGCTTACTTTATGTATTTGTTTGTTTGTTTCTGCCCTAACTAGGGATTGAACTCAGGGCCTAGACTCTGCGCTGAACTTTTTCACTCAAGGCTAGCACTGTACCTCTTGAGCCACAGCTCCTCTTCTGGCTTTTTGGTGGTTAATTGGAGATGAGAACCTCAGAGAGTTGAGCCACAGCTCCTCTTCTGGCTTTTTGGTGGTCAATTGGAGATGAGAACCTCAGAGTTGACTGCCTCTGCTGGCTTCAAACTTTGATCCTTAGATCTCAGCCTCCTGAGTAGCTAGGATGACAGATGTGCACCACTGATGCCCGGCCCCTGACTTTATTTTTAACCCAGAAAATGGAGGTGAGGTTGAGTTTGTCTTCCACAATCACACTGTTCTTTGTTAAGAATACAAATCCAGTGACTCCAAAGTGTCAGCTTGCAGAAAGTGTCCTTCATATCCTTTCTGATCATAAAACTTGGAGTGGGCTGGTAACACCCTCACTGTGGAAGCCACCTACTGGCTCACTTCCTTCTTCCTCCTTACTTCCACTGCCTGTGGTGACCTTGGAGGAAGCAAAAATGATGGGATGTTACCTTTGGGTCCATTGAAAGATGAGATCAGAGGCACTTTCTAAAAATGGGCTACATTATTAATCCAGAACCATGGAAGGCCAAAGGGTAACATTGAACCCATTGGAGCCACTCCACTCTAATGCTGGAGGATAAAAGGAGAAGCGCACCTTACCCAGGGGCCGGGAAATGTAAAAAACCCATTTTTAGATCATGAATCAGCCACATTAAGTTGGTGGACAAGTCCCTTTTTTTTTTAATTGTGAAAATACTGTACAGAGGGATTACAATTACATGGGCAAGATAATGAGTACATTTCTTATCAAAGTCCCTTTTTTTATTTCTTTTCATTTTTTCCTGCTTCAGGCCCAGTTGATTGTGTGTGTGTGTGTGTGTTTTACTCTCCTGGTGACCTGTGCTTCTCAGCAATAGCCACTGCTAAATGAGGGCCTTAGAGGACAGCTCCAGGAAGGACAAGCTACTCTGGAGAGAAGAAGATGCAAATAGGAGGAAGCCATGATACATCGTACAAGTTTGCCACTTATCAAAAAAAAAAAAAAAAAGAGCTTGTAGGTTCTAGGAAAGTTAGCAAGAGTGCCAAAGGCTGCTCGTTTCCTTGAACGGTTTCACCTCCTTTAACCAGGAGCCCCCAGTGTGGAACTCTGCTAAATACTTGGCATTGCACACCTCTGGGCCCTCTGAAAGAGGCATGAGGGTAGCATAAGAACTAGAACAGCAGCTCAGGGTGGCAAATCATAGCTAATCTTACCATGTGGTTATGAGCTCTCCTCCCACCGCCTTCCTGTGGCAGCGTGTTCACTAAGAATGTAAATATTCCATGCCAGTCTCTGCAGAGACTTCCAGCAAGGTTGATCTACAACTATACAAGCAAAGCGCATTATAGATTGAACCCAAATTAAAAATTGAGATGCGTAAATCTCTGGTAGACAGGCCTATGTTGTGTTAAAATATTTCCAGGTAATTTAAACAAGAGAGGAAATTTATCCCCCTGTAACTAGAATGTTGTTTCCATCATAATTCCATTTTAAAGTATTTAAATTTATCATGTAAACTTTGCTCCTGTATGTATGTCAGAAATCAAAAGCAAATTGGTTTGTCGTTCTGCAGGTCCCACCTCTCTGCTCTGATAGAAAGGTACCTAAATGTACTTTACTTCTTCATAATGTTGATTTAAGTCCCCTTTGTGAAGCCTGTAGTGGTGCATGCCCGTCTCATCTACTTTGGAGGCAAGGATAGAAGGACTGTGGTCTGAGGCCAGCCCTGGACATGCATTCTGAAAAATAAAACAGAAAGTTCTGGCGTCCTGGCTCAAGTGATAGAATGCTTGCCTAGCAAATGCAACACCTTGATTCCGTTCTCAGTAACACACACACACACACACACACACACATTTTTGTTGGGAAGAATTTGCTGTGTGGTGGGACTTCATGGTTGGATCATGCTGGAAAAGGCCTGGAGAGAACCTGCCTGTGATACAGAGGACTGCACGCACAGGGGTCCTGTAGACCCATAGTCTGTCTCACTGGGCTGTCATGGGCAGAAATAGAAAAAGTGCTATGATAGGAGAATGCAGATGAAAGAAAGCAGAAACAAATTGGCTCCCAATTACTTTTTATCTCACACTGATGAGACAAGACAGACCAGCGGCGGCTGTTTACTCCACCTGTCATCTTCCCCACTGGATTGCTCAATTTCTGAGGTTGCAATAGGAGCCTCAAGCTCTGGTCTGAGCAGAGTGCTGCCCACTGACACCCTGCACAGTCAGCAGGCTCCATGTATGGCCTCATGGCTCCTGACCCGCACCTCCTGGCAGCTCAGTTGTGCTGCTGGGTTCTGGATAGACCTTCTCTCCTGCCCTGCCCTGCCCTGCTGCCTCTAGGAAGATAGCACCCAATCTCACTCACCAAGGCCAGTGCAGCCCGGCCCTGCCCTCTGTAACTTCTCCCTGTGCCAGCGCCCTCCCACCACAGGAGCTATCTCTTCCACTATGGCAAGCAGAAGTGCCAGAGATGGACACAGGGAGCAACACCCTCTCCCCATCAGCTCTGATGCTCTGCCACCTCTGACAGTGGGGATCTGCTCTGGGCTTATGTGCCAAGCTGAAGAGGTGCCAGTTGCCCACAGCCTTGGTATCAGCTGGCCTCTGTAGGTGCTTCCTTCACCGCCCACCTGCCCTGCTGCCTTTGGGCCTGTGTGGGGCCTGCTTTGGGGAGGCCAGCCTAGACTTGAGCATCTGGCTATGCAGTCTCTATTGGCTGTGTGGAATGGCATTAAGGACACTCGGAGGGGTGCATGGCATGAAGTATAAGTGTGGCTTTCTGCCAACTTCTTTCTGTACCATTCACCAGCTTGAACATACATCATGGCCTCTGTCAGCCTTAGTTTCCACTTCCCCAGCACGGGGAGGGTCTAAAGAAGGCTTCACACCTCTTGAACAGTGGAGACTTGATGAAGTATGGCTGCATCATGACACACATCACATGGCACTGGCTGGTTACCGTTCATCAGTTCACATGACCCTGAAATCAGGGCATGCCTCTTGTCCCATGGGAGCTCTGATTCTTCCTTGGGGATGAATGCAATAAGGATGCCCCCTACCTCCTCGGCATCTTAAATCGGGGATGTGGTCTGTGTATCTTCCTCCAGACACACAGATTCAGCCTGCTCTAATGGTTGTACCAAAGCAGCACTAAGGCTACCCTTGCCCACACCCCAAAGGTGCACATCCTGGCACACAAGCCCTTCCACTCCAAAACACTTGAGGCTGAGAACAACTTATGGAGAATTAGCACTAGGCATCACAAAGCTGTTCTAATTTCATTTCTTTCTTTTTGTTTTTTCTTTTTTTTTTAATGCTGGCACTAAGGCTGACAAGCAATTTTGTGGTTTATTCTAAAGTCTTCTAGAGCTGAAACTGAGCAGCTAGTAAATGTTCATATCCCAACATATAGCTCCTTCCCCTTCTGTCCTCTTCCTCTCCCCCTTCCTCTCTTTCATCTTCCCTTTTCTTCTCCCTCTTGCCTTCCTGTTTCCAGGGAGAAAGAGCTTTCCACTTTCTCCTGTGATTATAATGGATCCACCTAGCCAATCCACATCCCTCAGTCTCTGTGTTTTAAGATTGATGGCCTTAAGTCACACACAAGCATACTCACAGGCTCCAGGCTTCATGGGTGGACAACCTTTAGAACAGTTCTATCTACCACAGTTGACAAAGGCAACTATATGTGGTCAGTAGCTACTGCCAAGGGCAGAACCTGAGACCTGCTGCTCCCAGAGAGGGGTGTTGGGAGGAGGGGGAGACCTCAAGGAGTATGCTGCTCCACATGAGCCCTGAAGCTCAGACAGAAGCTACCACTCAGCTCATGAACAGGAAAGCATGACCAATCAGTGTTGTGCATGGCCCATGTCCACTAAGGCTGCCCTGTGGGGCCAGAATCCACTCTGTCACCCTGACCTGCTGACAAGTAGGGGTTCTGGAGGCCCTGGTTTGGGGCCACCTGGGAAGGACACCACCTCTGGCTCTGAGATTGAGGAGCCAGTGGCTTATACCTCCCCTGGAGAACAATTGGCCTACAATGGCGTTATCTTAACTCTGACTTAACAGAGGACACAAGAACCTTTTTTCATGCATCATACTATTTCAAAAGAGAAGTATCCATCTCAGTCTCCAGCTGTGGTGCAGCTGTGGTCAGTTTTTAGAAGACCAGTGTAGGCCTGCATTGGCTGCACACCCATCCTAGAACTGTGGCCCATAAGACACACACTCACCCTCTTTTGCTCATTGAAGAGTAAGTGCTTAAAGCGGTCGGGCCCAGCACAGCTACCCTGTGGATCTCCCCCACAGTGTGGGGGACAGTCATCATGATTGGTCGGCTGGGTATCTATCCCTACTTTTTTGTCCTAGCAAACTGTGGGAGAACAAGCAGACAGGAATGGGGAGGAAAACCTGCCTGCTTGGTTAGTGTGAAGGTCCGGCAGCAAGCAGTCATGACCTGTGTGCAGGGGGAGTATAAAGCTCAGTCTACAGGCTTGGCCACCTGGCAAGCTTTCAGGGTCAGGGAAAGGCATGCGTCTGAACCATTGCTCTGCCAGGTGCTATAGAGAGCAGGGAGGGGGGAGCAGCACCTGGACCTGGCTGGGGCAAGGTGATAGTACTTGGGGAGGAGCTCCTAGTGCCTGTCCCAACCCCACGGCCACTCTGTGGATGCCTTGTATCTACTGTGACCCTCTCATGTGATACCATTTGCAACCCCTGTGGGAGGTGCTGTGACTCTGAAGGTTCCAACCTCTCAAAAGTGCACATTTACGATGACTCTTGAGGGAATCATACTAGGTGAAAAGAATCCAGCTTTAAAGGGGGTATGCTATATGACCACTTATTTAACCCTTCCAGGAATGAAAAACTTATAGAAGTAAAAGAACAGATCAGGGGTTGCCGGGGGCTGGGGGGGAGTTCGGAGGCAGGGATAGACAATGACCTCGTGGCCATGAGCCCATTCCGTGTCTCCATATGGTGTGGATCCAAGAGCCCACATGCGTGAAAAACAGTGCACAGATACACATGCACATACACAAGCAGAAGCCAATCTGGGACCCATGTATAAAATAGAGTGACCTCATCCATGTCAGAGTCCAGATATTGCACTGTAATTCTTCAGAATATTGCCAAGGGGGGAAACTGAGGAATAGCGCATGGGAGCTTTCTATATTATTTCTAACCTCTGTATTGGACTTTACTGTTATCTGAAAACACACCCTAGGAGTAAGGAAATGGAAACTGGCAGTAATCATAAGTAGGTGTTGATGCTGATCTTGACCCATGTTCCCCTTTCCCTCCCTTCTCTTTCATTAGATCATGACAGTTGACATTGGCTTCCACATCCATGAATCTGGGCTGTGACCTTAGCACCAGGGCCTTGGCCAGAGGGGGGCCAGGAAGCCAAGGGATAGTTAGGATGTAAATAATGCCGCTATCATTGTGATTGATGAGACATGACTGAACAGGGAATATTTGTGTATGCATTTCTCTGGGCCTAGTCTATGCATATAACAAGCAGAGGATTCTGTTCTGATCTAGCAAATTCTCAGCCATCTCCACAGCCAGTGGGAGGGGGAAGTAATTCAGGCAGATTGTTTCTGCTCGAGTGGTCCAGGTAATTGCAGAATTGATACCCAACTTTGCCTCCATTCAGAACCCTTCAGCTTTTTCTCCTTAATCATTTCTTTGAAGTGCTACATTTTCATTCCTCTTTCCTCCTTTTCGGGCCCACCCTGTTTTAAAGATACAGTCAATATAGGAAGCATGCCAGAGCTGTATTATCCACATTCAACACCATTTCAATAAAAATAAGGCACTCTGGAAGACAATCCTCAGAAATTAATTACCACACAGAAAGTGAATAGAAGGGCCTTTTGTTATCATGATAATGAAATCACTACTACCTTAATACTCTTGAACCCAGCCATGCCTCTGCTGAATTTCTGCTGAATAAACTGAAAGATTACAATTCACTCTCAGAGGAAATTCATTGTTTAATACAACCAGGATTTCTGTTGCACAAGCCAGGGGAGAGTTCAGACAACCAAATGTCAGGGAGTTGCCTTTGCTTCCAAAGATGGATGGAGCTTCCCCCCACACCTCTTTACTATTATTTTACACTCCACTGAAGTATTAAATCTATTTCAGATACACATTGCTAAGACTTTAAAAACTATACTAATAAGCTACATTGTTTAGAGATACAGGCCAGGAGTCTGGATAGGGTACTGTATTTGACAAGCTTTGGGAGTCAGTGTTTAGATACTAAAGCAAACTAGCCTATAAAACACTGTGCTGTAAATATAAACCTTTATGAACCTCTTGGGATGGTCCTTCTAAAATGTGAATTAAGATATTCCATGATTCAAGCCCATAAACTGAAAAGTAGCCCTCGCCATGAGTAGTAATTTGCTTTCTGCAAACCTTAGAATATAAACTGCCTTTCCTGCTGCTCATGAATTCCAAGTGTGTATGTGTGTGTGTGTGAGAGAGAGAGACAGAGAGACAGAGAGAGACAGAGAGAGAGAAGAGAGAGAGGGAGGATGGGAGAAAGGATAATTAATGATAAAGTTTGGAGAACAGTTTTGAATGGAGCTCCAATTATGTCAGGCTGTCAGATCCTTCTTTTACTTAAGGTCCATCTTTTGTTTCTTTTCCTTGTTTAAAGAGCCACCATATTTCACTGCTGAGCCTGAGAGTCGGGTTTTAGTGGAAGTGGAAGAAACTGTGGACATTGCATGTCAAGCCATGGGTGAGTATGGGAGCAGTGAGGTGGAGGAGTGGCAGTGACCATGTCCAAGGCAGGACATGTCCTTCCAGGGGCAGGAGGACTGAGGAACCCAGGCCTATGACCTTGGGAATCGTGCTGGATCCTTCTGAGCTCTTGTGTCATGTTTATAAATCAGTAATGCTCACATTTACCCCAGGGGAGGAGAAGGAGCAAAAGGATGACTCCACGTCCTGAGTCCCAAACAGAGCCAACAGGACATACCTTGGTGGCTCCTTGCACACATTCCAGCTCTACAAAGCAAGGAACACACAGAAAACTTATTGCCAACCAATCCATGAGGACTGGAAGCCATGTCCATACTGGAGAGAGATTGTTCTAAAGTTATAGAATAGGAACTTTTCCTACTTGTCTGCCTTTTAACTTCAGGCCAGATTTCCTCTGTTAATCAGGTCAGTTCTAAGACTCCTGGTACCTCATTTGTGCCCAGTGCCCTCATCTCTGGCTTTCTATCAGGCAACATAGGGAGTTTACACAACACACACACACACACACACACACACGCATGCATGCACATGCGTGCTCACACACACTCCCCATGGAGATCATGCTGCAAGGCAATTCATTAACAAAGCCTGCATAAGTAGAAAGCTTCCTCCTATTTGGGCCTAGCATCTTAAAGGTAGATTTGTTGTTGCTGTTGTTGGTTTGTGCTGGTCCTCGAGCTTGAACTCAGGGCCTAGGTGCTGTCCCTTAGCTTTTTTGCTCAAGGCTGGTACTCTTCTCCTAGTCATAGCTCTACTTCCAGCTTTTGCTGATTAATTAGAGATAAGATTCTCATGGACCTTCCAGCTTGGGCTGGCTTTGAACTGTGATCTGCAGATCTCCGCCTCCTGAGCAGCAGTAGCATGAGCCATTGACTCCCAGCTAGGGCCTAGCATCTCAAGAGTGGATTTTTCTATCCAACCCCCTAAGAGGTTGCAGGAAAGGTAAAGTTTATAACCAATTCTGAAAACCTCCTTGCAGTTCCACAAGACAAGCACATTGGAAACCTTGCCTAGAAAGCAAGGTGAAGTCAGGTGCTCAGAACTGCAAAGATCAAATGAGATACATCTTGTAAAATCAGCCAGGTACCTGGCATGTAAGAAGAGTTGTTTGTTGAGTACTGGGGTCCAAGGGCATGGAGACAAGATCTAAACCCCAAGTCATCAGCTATCAAGACACTTCCTCCTACTGGGTTACCTAGCTTCCTCCTGAACATGAAGCCCTGGGGCTCAGAATTGATCCCATTCACCCTTGGGTACACTCACATGCATGCCACTTCAGTCCTGGGCAGCATTGCTGGTAAAGACAGAGAACGTGCTACCTTATGAGCAGCCACTCCTTCTGGGACCTGTGTCCTTGGTTGCTCTTGTCCCAGCTCCTGGTCATCTCACCATGGTTGCTCCCTGCAGACCTGCTCTGCCTCTGCCCTTCTCTGCTCTGGCTGTACCAGCATAGTTGCAAGGACAAGGTGACTTTCCTTTGAGGTGACAATGTATGTTTTTCACAGAAACACTAGCTTCCAAAGGAAGTTCTGTTGAGTATGGTGCTATGAAGTATTTAGGCTGCTGAGATTTCAGAAATGAGAGTGGACAGACAGACTTTGACTTTAGGTTGCTCTCCAATACAAATAACCCCAATTTCCCCAGTCCTAACAATTACTTTCCAATAAGCTACACTCTCCCTTTGATGAGAGTGCTCTTTTCTTCTGATTTCTTCAGGGCAAACTGCTAGTTAAGCATAGACTTGTAAATGTATATTGAACGTGTCTTCCAGCACAGCATTACTGTCTTATAATTTACTGCTTTCTTTTAATTTTGACAATGAAATTCCAGCAGCATGCGAAATGGGGACTCTTTTTGGAAACTACATCATGTAATTGCCATTAGTAGATTTTACATGAATTGGTTATGCTTTTACCTTGAAATGGATTTTTTTTTATTTCCTGATTTAATGAAAGGTGACAGGAAACATAATTAAGGCAGAGAACAGAATCTGAGAACACATTATCTTGAGATATCCATGACATTAACTTTATTTATTAAAGTGGACATCTTGCTCCGACCTATATAGCATCTAGAATGACGGGATGTGGGTGGACCTTCCCCTGACTCATAGCAGGGTGCGGTTTTAATTTCAATCCCAGACATGGTGCTATATACCTACAGTTCTAGCACTTGGGCAGCTTAGAGTAGAAGATTGAGAGTTCAAGGCCTGTCTGGGTTCTATAGTGAATCTTAGGCCAGCCTGGAAACGCTATCTTAAAACCAATGTTTTATATTACATCATGTATCACATGATATTATATAATATAATACATTTGTACAATTATATATACACTTATGCAATTATATATTTAGAGAAAGTGAAGAATAGAATCATCTGAGATCTCAAATCAAGTCTTAAGTACTTCCTTCCCCATTCTGTGGGATTTTTGAACTTTATCTTATGTGCACTGGTATGCTCTGTGTGAAGTCTTTCTAGCCTACCCAGTTCACCCTCCTTGGATAGCTTTGACCTTCCTAGATGTCCTCTGTGTATAGATACTCCATGTTCTTGGCTCTTTGGTGCTTAGTGTAGGAACAGAGTAGCCTCTCACCAGCTGCCTATACAAAGGTGAAGTGTCCACAAGGAGGCATCCAGTGAGGGTAGACCCAGGATGTGTCCACTCCCTGCCTCCCTTCCCCCAGCCCCAGCTGAGCCTTCTGAACCAGGCAGAATCCCAGCCCTTCATCTCCATCTGAATCTCAAGGTCAGACCAGAAACCCATGCAGTCTCAGCATTCTCCCCAGTCTTTCTTTTAATGTCACTCTACATCAGTGTCTTCATAGAAGAGGAGAAAAATGAATCCTTACAGGGTGTCTGAAAGGCCACTGCCATGTTAGCCTTTGAAATAGTTTCACCTCCCCAGAGTTCAAGCCCCATGACCGATAAAAAAAAAAAAAAGGAATAGTTTCACCATGATCCTTATATAAGGAAGTCTTGGAACTTAATTTTTTTTTTGTGGGGGGGAGGTCCGGTCGTGGGGCCTGAACTCAAGGCTAGCGTTCTACCACTTGAGCCACAGTGCCACTTCTGGCTTTTTTTCTACTTGCTTATGTGGTGCTGAGGAATCGAACCCAGGGCCTCATGCATGCAAGGCAAGCGTTCTACCGCTGAGCCACCTTCCCAGCCCATGGAACTTAATTTTTTTTTGATACCTATTTATCTCCACTCCTACCCAGGGGTCCCTGTTCCCACGCTCCAGTGGTACAAAGATGCCATTCCCATCAGCAAGCTCCAGAACCCTCGATACCAGGTCCTGTCCAGTGGAGGCCTACGCATTCAGAAGCTGCATCCAGAAGACTCTGGAATCTTCCAGTGCTTTGCCAGTAATGAAGGAGGGGAGATCCAGACCCACACCTACCTAGATGTGACTAGTGAGTACCACTATGAGTGAAAAGCAGTCTCCTGGATGGGGCAGAGCTTCCCTTACACACACACACACACACACACACACACACACAGTAGCAGCACTTCCATTTGGAGGAGCCATTGGGCCCTATGTCCAGAGGTGACCCAGCAAGGAGGGCCATGCCTGTCACAACTCAACAGCCATGAGTCCCATAGGGAACTTTGCTGAAGCCAGGAGGGATGAGGATCTCGCTGTGGTCTCTTGGCTGTCCTGCGAGCCTTGATGTTTCCTCAACTGAGCTATGAAATTCTTCTCTCTAAAGGAGAAATAGAAAAACAGTCCCTACTTTTCTAGGCAGAATTGGAAGTACTGTTGAGTGAACAGCTCCTTCCTAATCTTTTTCTTTAGATCTTTTCCCCCATTTTTAATATTCATTCTCTATTTTAGTTTTATTGAACAATTATAGTTCTTTTGTGAGTTTCTTTTATTATCCCATTAACAGAAATACCTTGGCACTCTGTCTTTGAAAAATAAAATAAAAGTAAAGGTTTTCATTCTATCTGTGGGTTTTCTTTTTAATCTCCCATAGTCGTAATATTGTTCTTCTAAAATGAAGTAGAATTTAGTGATTATGGAATTATACCTTTCATGCTTGCCCTTTTGAAAGTAAAGTGCTAGTGCCGTAGGTGTGAGAGCCACTGGAAAGAGTGGAAAGAGGGACTGTGCTCATGGCCCATGGCTCCCACCAGCTAGAGCTGGGTAGGGACAAGACAAGTTTCTAAGATGTACACACTTATTATGGTAAACTAGGGAAGGGGGGAGTCATTCTCTTGACCTTTGCTCAGAGGTCAAATTTTCTCTGTAGTTTAGAGCACAGGAAACCAATATTACTTCAAACTATAGAAATTATATTAGGTGCTTACACCAGAAACTGAGTTGTGATCGATTCGAATTATTTAAAGCCTACCTTGCAGTCATAGCCAGGATTCTCTGGCAGCAAGGATCAGCCAGGGAATTAATTTTTTTTTCTCTGAAGTGTTTAAGGCTGTGCGGGATATGGTTTCTATCACAGCCAGTTGGACTCTGCTGCCATAGCACATAAGTTGCAATAGAGAAGAAGTGTGGCTGAGATCCAATAAAACATTTTGTATGTATGTGTGTGCCTGTCCTAGGGCATGAACTCAGGGCCTGGATGACATCTCTTAGCTTTTTCTTTTTTTTTATTGTGAAAATACTGTACAGAGGGGTTACAATTGCATGGGCAAGATAATGAGTACATTTCTTATTAAGCATTGTAGCCTCCTCCTTTATTTCCCCTTCTCATCCCTTCCCATCTCTTAGCTTTTTCATTCACTACTTTTTTACTCTACCACTTAGCCACAGCTTCACTTCCAGCTTTTTTCGTAGTTAATTAGAGATAAGGGTCTTACAGACTTTCCTGCCCAGGCTGGCTTCAAATTGCAATCCTCAGATCTCAGTCTCCTGAGTAGTTAGGATTTCAGTAGTGAGCCACCAGTGCCCAGCTTCAGTAAAACTTCATGAAAATAGGTGATGGGCTGGATTCGGTCCCATATTTGTGATTTGCCATGCTCCCCTACTGAAAAGAAACCCTGGAACTTGAAGGTGAGCTGGTCTGAGTGCTCACTGAGTTTCTTTTGGTCTCAGTTTCTCATTTCTTCATGTGGATGCCAACCCAGACTTGTTACAGGGATCTCTGGAAAGTCAGATTAGACATTCCAACAGATATGTGCCTTTAAGCTGGTCACAGGGACAACAGTACTGAGTTAGCTAGTTTTACTCATAATTTGCAAAATATGGTGTTTTGTTGTATGGTTCTTGTTTTTTAATTTCAGTTGGTTGGCTAAATTAAACTACCTTTAGGAAATTTTAAGAAAAAAAATATTATTTTATCATTCACATAGCAAATGGCTACTGAGTATTTGGCTAGGCTATGAGGAAAAGGATGAGGCTCTGTGCCCTAGGACAGAGGCTAGGACAGAAAAGCAGCCCTTGTCTAAGGAGTGCTGTAGAGATGGCTGTGAATGCTGGTGCGGAGGGTCTCACTGAGATAACATACTGAGACCAGAAAGAAGTGTGATGGGGTTGGGACCTTAGATGCCTTGAGGAAAACTGAAGGAAACTTGTGACAAGCAAGGCAGCTGAAGCAGGAAACCAACGGGGGATATGTAGGAGCCAGTAGTCTGGAGGCCCTGATTCTCTATGGGGTAAGGTCGCCTCTGCTTTCAGAAGCACCAACAGGCTGGTGGCCTCAGGTCTGGTTAGTTGAGCTGATGCTCAGAGACTAGCTAGCAGGTGCCTGCATCATACAAGGCAGCCCTGGTGTGTGAAGCTCACACGAGGTGGATAGAAACCACAGGCTTTTGCTGTGGAGGTAGACAGGGCTGTCTGAGGCTTGTGAGGGTCTCTGCTAGGTGAAGAAAGTGGCCACCATTGCACTGTGGTCTCCTGGGATATACCTACTTCTCCCCTGTGGGTTTCCCATGAGATTTGGGCATGGTGACCCCTGCTACAGTTGCATTGCCAGTGGGATCCCAGAAGAGTCAGGCAAGAAGGTCAGGCAAATTCTTGCTCACAGCAGCCTGCATTCCCTACCTGATAGCCTCTGTGGGGCTTCACCATGTAGGTCCTCACGAGGGAGAAGCCCCAGCCTGCAGCAAAATAGTCCTCAGTGAGGTCCAAAGATGATTGTTATTTTAAATACCCAGTGTGACCATGTCTTCTTGTTTTGTATTCAGAACTAGCCTTTTCTTTTATTTGAACAACCAAAGCAGGGTATCGTCATCATCATCATCATCATCATCATCAAAGTATCTTTAGTATTCACCTAAAACTGGTCTTTCTAGGCCCCTGCCCTTTGCACTCATGCACACATTTCTTTTTAGTAGCAAACAAAGATAGGCAACTCCTAGGAATTAATTATGGAGGGTCATGAGCACCCCCAAAAGGCTTTCAGCTTTTACTGCTACATCATCTCTGTGAATGGGCCCAGGAAGCTGGAGCAGAGCCTCTGTCTGGCTGCCTTGCACCACTCAAGGCTGTCACTGACCACACACTGTAAACTCTCCTCCACAGATATCGCCCCGGCCTTCACCCAGCGTCCTGCTGACACCACGGTGACTGATGGGATGACAACCGTGCTGAGATGTGAAGTGTCTGGAGCCCCCAAACCTGCCATCACTTGGAAGAGAGGCAGGTGGCTTCTGCTTTCTGTAGCAGTGTGGCAATATAAAAATACCACTGTGTTTTGTTGCACTGTGTTCATCCACTCACCAGTGCTAGATGAGATGGGGTACAAGGGGTACAGGGGTACAAGAACCAACAGGCCGAGCAAGAAGACCCACCTTTCGAGATAGGAAGCAACCATTAAAAAGTGATAACAATTATGCAAATATCACTCTCCTGTAAACCTTCACGGAGTGCCTTCCACCCACTGGGCCTCTTTAAACATTAATTATGGGACATGAAGCAATTCTGATTATGATCCGTTTTCCCACTTGTAGAAGGAAGGATTTCTTCATACTACTAAAAAGCTAGTCTTCTCTCTCTTTCTTTTTTTTAATGAAGGTACATATAGCGTAGCATTATTTTACACTCTCCCCAATTTGATCTGTGGAGCTTAATTGCAACCATGTTTCCAGTTCCTGTGAAGACCAGTGTCATATCACCAGCTGTATTCATAGTTCCAAGCCCCTTCTGCAAGTCAGATGTACACATTCGCGTGCGCCCTGCCTGCTGCACTGAACCAGTCCTGACTCAGGGGTCTATGCTGAAGTGTGTTCATTCTCGTAGCTTGAAGAATCATTGATCTGGGGGGAATATAAGAATTCACATCTGGAAATGGCGCTGTAGCTCAAGTGGTAGTGCACTAGCTTTGAGCTGAAGAGCTGAGGGACAGTGCCCAGGCCCAGAGTTCAAGCCCCACGACCGACAAAAAAAAAAAAAAGAAAAAATTCACATCTTAGCCAGGTGCTGGTGTTTCATGCCTGTAATCCTAGCTACTCGGGAGGCTGAGATCTGAGGATTGAGGTTAAGGCCAACCTGGGCAGGAAAAGTCCATTAGACTCTTAACTCCAGTTAACCACCAGAAAACCAGAAGTGGCACTGTGGCTCAAGTGGTAGAGCGCTAGCCTTGAGCTGAAGAGCTCCAGGACAGTGCCCAGGCCCAGAGTTCAAGCCTTACAACCGACAAAAAAGTAAAAAAAAAAAATTCACATCTGGTCCATGCTACCAGAAAGCTGTGTGGTGGCTTATCCATCTCAGAGGAAGTCTTATGGACAACAATGGCTGCTGATCTTTTTTGTTGTTGGTGGTGGTGGTCTTGGTACTTGAACTCTGAGTCTGGGCACTGTCCCTTCAGCTCAAGGCAAGTGCTTTACCACTGAGCCACAGCACCACTTGAGCCACAGTGCCACTTCTGGTTTTCTGATGGCTAATTGGAGATAAGAATCTCACAGATTTTCCTGCCCAGGCTGATTTTGACCCATGGTACTCAGATCTCAGCCTCCTGAGTAGCTACAATTACAGGCATGAGCCACTGGTGCCCAGCATGGCTGCTAATCTTACGTCTTGTTTTTTTCTATCCTGAGTATAAATATAATAGTAGTATTCTATAGATATTTTCAAATGTATATAAACACCAAGAAACATAAAAAGCACTTGTTCAAAGATAGTGATCCCATACACAGACCATAATTTCATTTAACGAAGTAGGTCAATATTAGACAATGAGCATAGTCTGGATTTTTGTTACTCTAAGTAATGCTAAGGAAATACTTGAGTTATTTTCTTTTAAGATAAAACTTTCCATGTCTCTGACTGTGTTATGTTCTTGGTTGCTACTCTTCCAAGGGTTGTGGCTTTAATGTTTCTGCTTCTCTTCCGCTCTTCAGGGAACCATATTCTGGCCAGTGGCTCTGTCCGGATTCCTAGGTTTATGCTACTAGAATCTGGAGGCCTACAGATCACCCCTGCTTCCATCCAGGATGCCGGCAACTACACCTGCTATGCAGCCAACACAGAGGGCTCCCTGGATGCGTCGGCAGCACTCACTGTGTGGAGTAAGGACCACCATGGCTGACAAGTGTCTACTAAGCACCCTGCAATTGTGTTCCATGGATGCCCAGGGGCTATCAATGTGTTCTGGTGCTTTCTCACTTCATCAAGAAGATGATTATTTTTTCACAACTGATTTATAGAAATCTATTGAGCAATTAATGTTTCAGTTTCTTAAATATTAATTAGAAGATATATTTAAAGATTTCCTGCATTGGGTTTTTGTTTTTTGTTTCTTTTCTGAGAGAGATAAGATTGGCTTTTTCAAATCATTAGAGATATTACACCCAGTTAACTCAAATAACAAAGTTGCTGATGTTAGCTAATTTTCAGAGTGTTTGCTAAGGCAACTAAATCAGGAATTAAAATACTTAGGAAAGAGCCAGGTGCCAGTGGCGCATGCCTGTAATCCTAGCTATCCAGGAGGCTGAGATCTGAGAATCACAGTTCAAAGCCAGCCCGGGCTGGAAACTCTGTGAAACACTTATCTCCAATAAACCACTAGAAAACTCGAAGTGGCACTGTGGCTCAAGAGATAGAGTGCTCACCTTGAGCTGAAGAGTGCAGGGACAGCTCCTAAGCTCAGAGTTCAAGCCCCAAGATGGATTAAAAAAAAAAAAAACTTAAGAAAGTGTTTTTCTCTATACTATCTTATCTCCAAACCATACTTCTAATACATTAACTATGACTACTTCTTGGGTATTAGAAGTAAACTGGAAGAAAATCTTTATTGCTTCTTCAGCTTTTATCATCTCTAGTTAGGATGCTGGTTTCTGAAATGCAGAATAAATTGTAGTACCAAGTACTCCCTCTCACCTTCAACTACAAAGTACGTAGACCCCCCTCATCTTGCCTAATTATTATGAAAGCACATTGTTCAAAAAGGCAAAGGCTAGTGCTTAGTGATAGGTTTTCATAAGGCTACCCGATGAGAGAGTTTTGACTTCCTTGAGTGAATGACTTGTAAGAGAAACTTCATTGTGCTTTATTTCCTATCTGGATTTTTTGGGGGGTGAGGTCAGTCTTGGGGCCTGAACTCTGGGCCTGGACGCTGTCCCTCAGCTCTTCAGCTCAAGGCTAGTGCTCTACCACTTGAACCACAGCGCCACTTCCGGCTTTTTTCTTTCTGCTTATGTGGTGCTGAGGAATCGAATCCAGGACCTCATGCATGCAAGGCAAGCACTCTACCACTGAGCCACTTCCCAGCCCCCTATCTGGATTTTTTTTTAGCACTCTCTATCATGTCATTGGTGTCCACTTTGATAAGTGACCTTTGTCTAATTTATTAGTCATTCTAAAAGCATGGAGAGTTTGAAAGTACTAAACATTGGCAATAACTAGAAAAGAAGTTTTGTTCCATTTGGCATTGGAATTTACCATGACATATCATGAAAGTGAACTGGTTATACATTAAAAAGAGAAGTGTATATTTCTATAGATCACTCCCCAGAAAGTTTTGTAGATCTGTTAAGATTCAGAATGAAAACCAATCTAATTGTAGACCACTGTGGTGGCCTACAGAGCATTTTCAACCTGCTTGACATATGATAATCTACACCGATGTTCCTGACAGTAGTGTACCCTTCCATAGGAAAGGAAAATAAAACTCAAACATTTTCCTGCTGGATCTTGAACTGTGATACCTGTGACTCCCAAGTTCCCTGCTCTGTGCATGCTGCTCAGAGGGACATGTATTCCGCCTGCTGGGAGGCTGCTATTAACATCCACAGCTATGGAGTCTGGAGGGCTGCAGGGCTAAGCAGAGCCAACATATACAGCCCCTTACCACTATGTAGTATAGGGAAAGATCACAATTTGCATTCCTGGGACTCAGGAGTGATAGTATTACAGAGTACTAATAATACTTAGTAAGCCAGGTGCTGGTGGCTCATGCCTGTAATCCTAGCTACTTAGGAGGCTGAGATCTGAGGATCCCATTTCAAAGCCAGCCTAGGCAGGAAAGTCCATGAGACTCTTATCTCTAATTAACCACCAGGAAATAGGAAGTAGCACTATGGCCCAAAGTGGTAGAGTGCTAGACTTGAGCAAAAGAGTTCAGGGATAGCACCAAGCCCTGAGTCCAAGCACCATGACTGACAATGATAATAATAATAATAATGACAATGATATGACACATTATTTAAAACAGATTTTATGAGATTGTGATAAAAAAAATTACATGCACAAAAACACATTTCACTTTGCAAAATCACAAAATACTTTGTGAATAAAAAATTGTACAGCTGTGAGTATTTGGGGAAAGAGTCTCAATTTTAACCAAGACTGTAGAACTCACAAGCTGGTGACCTTCCCCTTACCT